GAGTCGACCCTCCAGGCAATCTCCTGCTCCTCCCTTCAATGGACTGGAAGTCCCACTGGCTGCCCACTCGGTTCCAAGAAGGCCAACCACATCTCACAAATGGGGCGAATAGGAGAACGAGGTGATCTGTCGATGTCCTTGGAGTTTTGAATGACAAAGAATTTGAGGGCAGGAGAGATTTCGGTCTTGGCTGACTTCTGTAGGACTCCAGTCCGCAGACCACTTCTCTATCCTCTTGGTCTATCAGTAACACGTTAATTCCTATTTTTTTCCCGGCACCAGAATCAACGATTTCACCTGCAGAAATGGCAGATTCATTTTAAAAACTGTCTATCTGGCAATCCGATAAAACACTACCTGCTAGGCACCCAACAGCAGACAGAGAAAGTTAACTAGCAAGTGAACATGCACGTAAGAACTAAAGAGCATCATTCATGAGTTGGTGGAGACCCAAAAAAAAAGCTAAAGTGAGAGAATATTGGACTTACATTTGCCAAGAGGCCAAAAACACAACTCATATGAATGCTAATGTTGCTTCATTTTTGCCAGATGAGAAAACAGGCAATTTTTAGCTAACGCATTTGCCATATCAACTTTATAATGTTGTGTTGACCCCAAGTGGCCAAGAAATAATTGAACACACATTTAAAAGACCAGTTTGTAAGATTTAGTGGTATCTAGCAATGTAGTTGCCGATTACCCTCCCATTCCAAACATGTGGCACAAACAGTGGACCTATCTATAGCAAGTGTGTGGTTTGTCTGTTCTGGGATACTGTAGAAACATGGCAGTTCAACATGACGGTCTCTGTGGAAGAGGACCCGCTCCCTCTGTAGATAAAACCGTCTCATTCTAACGATTCTTATTTTCAGGTGATTATACACAAATGGAAACATACCTATGAATATTATATTCCATTTGTCCTAATAGATCCTCCTGAATGTTACACACTGAACCTTTAAGTAATCCAAATCTGTCACGTCGACCTGGATCATCGTGTAACTGTGTGTGCTGTGTGTCATCAGCCATAAATTCACCCCGAAACATCCAGTTACATTGATACTGGATTAATAATTACCCAAACCCATCAAATCTATGTTGAGCTCTGCTTTCTACTTAGTTTCACTCTATAAAGGTTGGTCTTGTATTCTGTAATTTGCTATAACTTCCTAATGTTTGCTGCCCTTCATTATTCAATTTTTTGTTTTTCCACCTGTTTGGTTCTATTGCATCTCTTCTGTTTCCTGTTATTTGTTTCACAGTTGCCTTCTGTTTGTTATAATTCAGTTTTTTTTGTTCTGTTGTGTCCTCACTTTCCTCACCCATTCCTCAGCTTTCAATTCAATCTGCAGAGTTCACTAAACTACTTTCAACATGACTCACTATATTTGTCAAGGTTAGCAGAGCTGGCTGTTAAAATGTATTAATGAGCCCGTGGCTTTAGGGAGGATTATTAAAAAGAAAAACAGCGCTGCTCTTACCCCCGGACATTGTCCAGCGGTTGTTATGTTAATCACTTAGGCCTAATTAATACCATGCATATCATTAGCAAAATGAAGATTCAAATGCCAGCATGCGTTAATTACTGTTGTAGAAGTCATCTACATTTCTGCAGTGAATGTTAACCGTCTGCCAGTGCTAATTTACTTCATCCCCTCTCATCTGTGCTGGAAAATGAGAAAATGACACACACACATACACACACACACACACACACACACACACACACACACACACACACATATATATATATATATGTTTTCAGAAATAATGTAGAGGAGCAGGAGAAACATATATATTACAACAAACAGGGTAGCTTTGTAGGCTAATCTAATGACCACTTTATTACACAATATTCACATTACTCATTACTCGATTGGTATACATGTGTTTCAGAGATTGTACATTTCCGTGTTTTTGCTGTTTGACTGTCCAACAAAACCTGTACTTAACTCTTATACAGGATGTTTAGCGGTATCAAGATGATCTACTGAGTGTGTGTGTGTGTGTGTGTGTGTGTGTGTGTGTGTGTGTGTTTCGGGGGATTTCCTGATATAATCTCCAGTCCTTTCATTCTTAATGAGCCTCATTCAATGTGCCACAAATCCCTCGACTTATTGTTATTATTGAGACAACATGGGAACAGGCCACTTACCTAACTCACACCTCCTTCCTTTTGTATTTGACTTTAAATAACTGAAAACATGACGGCCACACAGGACTGTCAGAGGAACAAAGAACCTGAAATCTCCACTTCTATATTCTATAAGTGTATGAGGATTTGGTAAACATCAATCTTAATAGGCCAGACTTTATCGGTAACTCATATAGAGTAGGTTTTTGCTGTTCTGCCTGAAATCCTATTGCAGATAGTTCCTCCTTTTAAAGCTTAACCAGGATGTTTTTAACTAGTTAATGTCTATACAACCATTTTGACTGTAAAACTGTGGATTGTGAATTTTCTCTCTATACTCTGCCATGGTAAAATGTTTTGATTCACTGGTCATCAGATCACATTTGTTTTTATTGTGAAGTATTACATAGTACGTAGATGTTGACTATACTTCTATGCAAGGCAAGCTAACTTCCTCACCATTACACTATTAGATGCACCATTAAATTAACAAACTACACAAAATCAAGCAATCCAAGTGGCACAGACACTATTATAAATAATCATACAGGCTGTCAGAGCAGATTTAGATATAGTTATATTTTCGTATGATTATTGTTTCTCCATTAAGAATTACATTTAAGTTTTTCTTTAACTATTGGCTTTTTTGGGACTTGATTAAAGTTCAGGACTTGAGACTTACTTGTAACTTGCAAAAAAGTTTTTTTAAAAAAAAGTCTAAAGGCATCAAGCTATGCAGATAGTTATGGTTTTAATTGTCCAGGGTTTGAAATATCCACCTGTGGATTGTCTGCGGTGCTCACAGCAACAGCATATCTGTTCAGAAACAGCTGTCCCTGTTATTCAGGACAATCCACAGAACATGCTATTCATTTTTTGTATTTCCTTGTAGTTCAGGAAAAGTGTTAACAGTGAGGTCTGCAGATTATCCAGAGGGAAGTGAGATTGTGATTTGGGTCAACCAATCATTAATTCAGGTCATGTGTGGCCTGGCTTTGAGAGAGTCGCGCCAGAAAATTGTGTTTAAATTACATAAAATTGTAGTAATACAAAGATGATCTCTGCCAACTTTAAACACCTCAGTAATTAATCCTCAACTTGCACACATAATTAATTGATATACATGGCCACCCCCCCACTGCAGTCTCAAACAGTGCTTCCCCGCTGGGGAAGTTAATTGTCAGGTTAGACGTTCCCCTCCAGAGGATTTGTGCTGTGAATTATAATGATTCCCAGTTTTTCCTCCACCGTCAATGTCGCCTGTTAACTGAGTTACATCCCAAAGTAGCACATATACCGCACTATTAAGTACAGTAGATGCTATCTCTTGGTAGTAATGGGTACTCAGTGGTCATCTATGGATTTAAATAATAAAGAAATATAAGGTTTTAGTAATATCTAACTACTGCAAATAAATAAATACTCTGCCACTACTGCAATCACTTACCTTTATTACTATATGAATAAGACCCCCACTACAGCTTCTACCACTTATAATAATAGTAATGGTGAATCATTTTATATCCATATTTTGGAATATACACTAATGTGCTTTGAGTGTTATGAGAACATCGACACCACTCTCCTATCTGTATGGTAAACTAGCAGTTAGGTTAACCAGCTGCGGCAGTAGCTTCATACAGACAGTGGTATATCACAAAATGTTGAACTATTCCTTTAATTAAAATAATAAAACTAATAAATACTCTATACCCACTTCAACTCCTACTGCTTCAAGTTTGTCTACAAAGCTAAGTTGCTAATTCTGTTAGCACTCAGCTGTACTTGTACTGCTGCTGTATACTTTATAATTGTTGTTATTTTTCTTCTCCTCCTCCCTATTCTGGATATTTATCCTCATATATCTGTTCTCAGATGTCACGTCTGCTAAAAAAACAAGGTTCACGGTGGCCATCTTTAGATATGCACCCTTGTCCTCAATCAGCTGAATATGATTGTTCTCCTCGGGCTAAAGAACAGGCGACTGGACTCAATATATTTTCTTTGTTCAAGTGTTTCCCGAGAGTGCTGGAGATGGGGCAGAAAAATGGCCATCTTGGCCAAAGGATGCTGCGTCGACCAGCTTTTCCCCAGGTCTCTCCTCTGCTTCTTTCTTTCAGTCATGTTCAAAGTCATCCAAGAGACACAAACGAGTGTGTGTCAAACATTTTTTTCCCCTAAAGCTCATCACGTACTTTTCAGAAGAGGTGTGTTGTGCAGAAACATACGCGGCCTTTATTCAAGGCCAGCAATACCAATAATAAAATTCACATCTAAATAATTCAGCAGTCTCTAATGATCAACTCCACCCCCATGAAGAGGAGACACCTTAAAACTTCACAAAGGCAAGTGGGTGTCCTCGCACTTCATTGCCTCTCCACGCTACAACTAAATCTGGCATTATTCTAATTAATGAGATGGGTTCATTAGTGCTCTCGGGGTTAATGTGTTGTCCTAAAGCAGATTAGTGAAGGGATTTCAGTGTTGCTGGAGCATCCTAATTAGATCACAGTGGGTGCTGCCTGCTTAAATAGATGGAATAATGAAAGTCGTCACTCTTCGCAGCGGCAACTTGATTACTGCACCCTACCTCTGCTCATAAAAGGTTCAATATTCACCTGGAACAGTACTCAATGAAATGTGTTCAATTATATGCATCAATAAAACAGCAGCACTTGCTTTTCAAGTCTGGATTGGACCTGTTCTTATGATTAGTGGGCAAAACTGCCATCCAAAGGACTGGGATGGTACTGCAGTCATGAATGAGGGTTGGAGACTAAATTAAACCTGCTCCACAAGACAAACTGACCACAATATAGTAGCTGGGGCATTGGTGATGTTGTGAAATAAATGTTGCAGAGAAATATTATATTAACTTCATTTATTAGCTTGAACATACACTCTCTCTGCATGCAAACATTTTTATTTGACTTTAAATCTACATGAACCAATATATTTGTCATAACAATGGAACAAATGACAATGCACTGTAAGGAGCCCAATGTGAAACCCACAGGGCAGTTCCCTTTAGCTTTACAGAGCGTTTTAGCGTCTTTCAGCTCATTGTTTTAGTCTTAGAGTAACTTTTTGGTCTTTTGGTTTACTTTTCATCCTCAACTGTGTTTCCAAAACAGTAGGCAGCTGTTTTCAATATTAAAAAACTTTAAATAAACCAATTGAACACTACCTACTCAGCACCAAATGGCAGATAGGCAAAGGAAGCAACTAGCTGGTGAACATAGCGGAGCATTTAGCAGCTAGGTGCTTTTCTCAGGAGTTGGTGGATACCAAAACAGAGCTAAAAGGAGAGTGAATATCAGTTACATTCATTATTTGTCCTGAAACACGACTCGATGCTAATTTAGGCCATGTCTGCTGGATGTTTAAAAGTTACCTACTGCAGCTTTAAGTAGACGTGCGCAAGTGAAACTGTCACTGCTGTGGCTTTCGTTGGGGACACTGAGAGCGTATGTCCTCCTGAGGGGAGTTATCATTAATTAATAACATTAACGCGGTGCTTCTTTTATCAGCTCTCATTCCAGTCTTCTTCTTTTTTTAGTATATGAGATTTAAAGGTGGGGTTAGCGATTCTAGGTAATGTGTTAAATGCCATTCTAATCTGTTAGCAGTGACAGCTGAATATAGACAGGAAAAGGGGACGACACAACAGTCCGGATGTGAACCCTGGGCTGCTGCAGCAGGGACTCAGCTTTGGTACATGGCGTGGCTCTACCAGGTGACCTATCCAGGTGCCCCCAGGTCCTCTTGCTGTGCTGTTGTTTGCACTTTATCATGGTATTTGTCATGGTAATGCATTTCTCCGGAGTCACTTACCCCACCTTTCAATGTATGTGGGTTTGTTGCGAGGACTTGGACTTGTGACTTCTGTATTACCTAAATCCTGGCTGCTGTCTTGAACTCAGTACCACATAATGAATTAAGCCAATTTACAAATTCACAACCTTGTTCTGCGTGTCTAATTGTATCAAATGTGTTTAGTAGCCGGCATTTGATATGTGCACAATTCCAGCAGTAATTCTGTAATTCTATTGTTTAGTATTTCTTTATTTAGCCTGCTTTAGAGTATGACATTGCACAAATCCAAATATCATTCCCTTCTTTTGTCTTCTTGTGTTTGTCTCACATTAATCCCACTGCCTTGAAGCTGTTTTCATCATTTCCTCTGTTAAGCTTCTAAAATTAACCTAATCTTCTTTGCTCGTCCCATCCCACCCACTCGCCTTGTTGTCGGAGCCCACTCGCTCATATCATGTTTTTGTAGTGTTTTCTAAGAGGAGAGCGTCGAGATAAGTGGCATATTACACTCCAACGGCAGACACACCAAGTGACTTTGTGATTATGATGCAGAGGGTGTTGTCTTTGAGATAGGCAGAAGTGGAGGCGGAGGAAGGGGAGGGGGGGGATTATGAGGCTAATTCCCTTATAACTTTTTCCCTCATTAATCTCAGCGGAGGGACACGAGATTCTTTAAATGCTAATGTCCAATAAAGATGTCAGCAGTGACATTTTACAGTGGCAGCACAGATGTGAACAAAGTTGACCGCGTTGTTGTCGAAGAACTTTTCTCACTTTACTCATATTACTCGTCTCACATGTTAATTTTAAGAATCCTCTCTCTCTCGGGATTAGACATGAATGTGTTATAATCAGCAATACGCTTACTTACGCTTCTTTTGGCAAGTCATTAATTCAAACAATTTTGGGCCAAGGTCGAACGTAACCCCCCCCCTTGTCCTCACAAATAACTTTTAGAGGAATCTCCTTAACTCAAACACAAGTTGATTCTGTTTAATATAAGTACAATCAGCTTCTTTTTTTTTTTTTTTTTTTTACAAGAAATTAGTGGAGGTCAATGTGGCAACAAGATGAAGAGCAGACAGTCAAAGGAAATCCTGTATTTCCTTAAAAGCACCCATAAATCACCTAAAAACAAATGACAAATAAATCACTAGGGCCTCCACTAATACTTTACTTCCAGAGCAAAATCACTCCTTACAATCTCTTTATACAGAATTAGTGTCCAGAAGGTAGAAAATGAAATGTACTGTAGCTCCTTCCTTTGCTTTCCTGTTCCAAGGACAAATCATTCTCTGAAAATCCCTTCTGAAGGGATATGATCGTTTTTCGACACACTGTCATTCTGTTGAGGCCTTTTGCGCTGACCACGGCACTGACGCTGCCAAGCTCCTGTCAGCGTCACCGCCAGTCACAGCACCCTTGGGGGGGGGGGGGTTAAACGAGAATGTGACGACGCTAAAGGTTTGCATAATATCGATCTCTGTTCTGATGATCTCTGTAGGCAAACCCAGCATCCTTCTTGGTGTGCGGGATCCGTCCAAACGGCGCGTGGTCGTTGAAACACGTGTCGAAGACTTCATCCACTATTTTTTCCGCCTCCTTGCGGCTGACGTTCCTCACGGCCAGGATGGAGCGAAGGGCACGGCCCCTGACGCACTCCTGTACAAGGAAAAAAACATTTTGACAAACCTGAAACCTGCCGGTAAAAGTTAGATTCATCCCAGTGCAGGTACCTGATGATGCTGCTTCAAGCCGAAGTTGAATCTGGCGGCTTCATTGTTAAAGGCGCAGTCTCCACTGAGGTTAGCTGCCCGAATCTGAAATAATGACACAAAAAAGTCTTTGATAATAATCTGCAAACAGAACATTTAGGTCAGCAGGATAATGTTTGTTTCTTAAAAAGTTTAACAAAAATCTTGGAACAGGATTTACAACATTATTTTTCAGCTCCAACAAAACATTCAAACGATGAAATTGGAGGAGAAATTCAATGTGGATGACTTTACTCAAGTCTCAATCAAACTCTAACCTCCTGGTCATTAGGAAACACATCATATACTGAAAGTAAACTGTGTGTTTTCAAGGGATCTATGAAGGAAGTTTAAAAGATAAGTCTGTCTATGCTGAAATACTCCCTAAAGTGACAAATGTATATCAATCCGCTGCTGAAAATAGTCCCAAACAACTGCAGTATTTACTAGTTTAAGTAATATTTAGTCAAAAACTACATCAAAACATTTTAGGAAACTAGTTAACATCTTTTTATGTATATATGTAAAGTATATATTCGTAAAATGCTTTTAAATATTTACTTTTACAGTAAGAACCAATGAGCTTTAGGCAGGTGTTGCCAGACTTCTTTAAATTATTCTTTAAAGGACAAAAATATGAAACCGGTTACATTTCTTGCCTTACTACCATATTAAGTTTCTTACTGTAGCGTGGAAATGTGACTGCGAGTTGTTCCATGCACTTTGGTTACATTTTGGTATCAAAGGACAGTAACAATACACTTTTGCTTCTTGTGTATAGCTGCAAACTACTACTGAGAACATTCTGTGACTGGTTCATTCACAACAACAGAAAATATACCAGACTAAAACGAAGCCCACGATAAGCAAAGTTACCATTGCAAGTTAATGCAGCACGTTGGGACTCACCTCAGAACAAGCCAGGTGTTTGTAGTTGTTGAACCAGTCCACGTGGGCCCGACAGTGGTCGAAGGCATGAATGAGCTCATGTGTGACCACTCGGGTCATATGGGACTGCTGGTGGATGTTGTTCTGACACAAAACGATCTGCACACAAACACAAATCATTCAGTTTTAACAATCAAATTAATTTAAGTCTTCAGAACTCGCTTTATCTTTATTAGTACTGACAAGATCTCTTCCTTACTTGAGAAGAAGCTGCGTCAAAGCCGCCGCTGACCGTCCCATCACAATCCTCACAGGAGAAATGACGGTCTTTAAACACTTGGCTGAGTTGGGAGGAAGGAGAACAGGTTGAAATCATCACAACATAGGCAGAATAAACAACATCAGAGAAGGGGCTCAGTAATATTTTGGCCACTGGAATATTGACTAGGAATGTGCACTTTGTTGCGGAAACATGTAAGATAAAAGGCCTTATTCAATTCATATTAAAATTAATTTGCAACATCCAAACAGCAATTTTAAGGCTTTGCTTCAAAAATAGCTTATTTGGGTATACAGAAATTATTATCATTAAGTTATAACAGCTCTAGTAGGGTTTGCAAAATCTGTTCAGAAGTCCTGTGTAAACAGGTAAACAGGTAAACAGTCTGCAGGTTGTTTGCAGGAATGTGAGAGTTACAGTGAACAGTCAACAATGACAAATACTCGTGTATTTTAGTTGAACATTGTACGTACCACCCTGAACTTTTCATGGCACTGAGGAGGAGTTTGGCGTACGGACCTGGGAGAAGCACAGAGACCCGTTAGAGCAGTCACTGCTAGCTGTATTAGCTACGGTAACATTAGTATGTCCAATGAATCACAAACACATTTCAGAGAAACCTCTTAGTCACACAAGGTATCCGCTGGTCACTGATGAGACGACATTGCTTTTAAAATGAATGGTAACTAGGTAACGTTAGTACACTCACTAGTTTCCATTGCGAACTGTAACATGACCTGACACTTGTGGTTGAAAGTGAACAGACTCTCGCCTATTGTTCCCTTCCTGTACTTTCCCGTCTTCCTCTCCGGGAATAATTCGTATCCATATTCCTTCTCTTGTTTAGTCTGGTCCATTGTATGAAATGATTTCTACCGTACGATTTGGAAATGTTAACGTTTGCATACGTCCCCCCCGGTTAGCTACATGTATGTATGTGTTAGGTTAGCTACCGCTAGCTGACAAGAGAGGTCATCATCGCTGGTTTGTAGATCACGTGGTGGTGGGTCAAAGGTAATGAATTGGAATATTTATTATATTATTTCATTATTTTGCTGACATCGCCGTTTTAAATAAAGTCAAGATATAACGTTATAACTTTATTTAACGTTATATTTAAAATTATATAAAATGCGTTTTGTTAGAGTACTCCATAGATCGTCTATTCATATGTGCGCAGGAAAGTCGTAAACTCGAAGCGGGATATGTGGACCAAAACAAAACCTAGAAAGGGCAGTTCCCAGTGCAATTACACTGGCTGACTGTATTACAATTATTGACACGACAAATGGACATTGTTTAAATTTTTTTCTACGTATGCAACCCGTAGGTGGAACCAAAAAGTTATTTTGGCGGCTTTTACAAGTTGAAAAGCACGTAAAATGTTTCTGGAAGAAGCTATCTGTTGTAACATAGACGATCTTTGGTTACGCCCAGCGCAGGCGCAGGAGCGCAAGGGCTGCTGGTACTCGGCTGTCATGGCTCCGAACATAAACAGAAAGCTCTGATTAACGACACATTCTGTCCCAGTATTTAGCCAAATTAACCACAGCTACATTTTAAGTGTAATTACCCGCCGAAGAAAGAAGTGACAGGTACTTTACAAGGTTCAAGTAGCTACAGAGTCTCTTACATTTACTTTATTTCCCCTTAATGTTTAGTGTTTATGCTAGCTAGCTAGCTGCTATCCTCAAAAGCATGACAGCGTGATACTCGTGTTTTCCCTCTTGGCTGCCACACAAACCTCAAGACAACAACTACAGCAACAAGTGTTAAGAAATTGTCCAAAACAAATGTCTGTTTCACAGGGAATAACATGTCCGGGGGAAACAAAGCCATTGAGTTACAGCTTCAGATGCGGCACAATGCGGAGGACATGCACAGCTTCATGAAGGAGCTGGAGAGCTGGGAGACCGACATAAAGAAGAAGGACGAGGAGCTGAAGACGGGAGGACTTCAGGAGGTCCAGGTTTGTCCCTGCTGCAGACATCCATCCATCTCAGGGACAGGTAATGCACTGGATGATCTTCAGGTGTCAGCAGCTTGTTGTCTCTGTGTTATAGAAGAAGCTCCCACCTGTGCGCAACAAAGACTACAAAACAAAGATGAGGGAAAAGAAGAAGAAGAAGAAGAAGGAGCCGACAGGCAATGGAGATGCAAAGGGAGACGAGTCCCACGAAGCCTCAAGGATAAAAGCATACGACTACCGATCATGGGACAAGTTCGATGTGGTAGCTAATGCATTCTTGTCAAATATATGTAACGTGATTGAAGTAGTTGACTGAAGATTGATTGCTTCTGTGCTCGCAGGACAAGGCTCTGTCGGAGATGGATAAGGAGGAAAGTCCTGCAGAGTCAAACGAGTCAGACTCTGAGGAAGTTGATCGAGAGAAAGCGCTGGCCGAGAAAGAAAAGGTAGATACCGTATGAGAAGTGCTCCAAAAAAAGAGAGGAAGAAAGAGTCTTTCCTTAAAGCAGATTATGCTTTTATTTTCAGGGTAACACTTTTTTCAAAGACGGGAAGTACGACGAAGCCATTGAGTGTTACACCAGAGGGATGGATGCAGATCCTTACAACCCTGTGCTTCCAACAAACCGAGCCACCTCCTTCTTCAGACTCAAAAAGTAAACAGCACCGATCGTTTGGCTGCTGTGTTGCATCTTTTTAAGTATTTTTCAATAAATGTGACATTAAGGTGGATGTGTATGCTGTTTTACTGTGTTGTTCCCATGTAAATCATTGAGACGTTGTTCTGTGCAGGTATGCTGTGGCAGAGTCCGACTGCAACTTGGCGATAGCTCTGGACAGCAACTATTTCAAAGCGTATGCACGAAGAGGAGCAGCACGGTTTGCACTGGAGAAATATGAATCCGCGTTAGAAGGTGACAATCCTTTAAATGAATTAGATTGTCTGTTTGAACTTAAAAGCGCAGAGATAACAACACGGATTTGTCTGTGAACAGATTATGAGATAGTTCTCAAGCTTGACCCTGGGAACTTGGAAGCACAGAATGAAATGAAAAAAATCAAAGAGGTGAGTATGAAATGATCATTCTGGGGTGATTTCGCAACTCTTCTTCTCTTTTATTTACTCCCTTTATGTGACTGGTTTTAGATCCTCGGACATCAGACACCGGCCATCACGAGCGAAGCCACACAGCCGCAGGAGGCTCCCACAGAGGACCCCAAGCAGCAGAGACTGATGGAGGAGCAGCAGAGACTGATGGAGGAGCAACAGAGACGACAGGAAGCGGTTATACAGAAGGACAGAGTAAGCTTTGCTGTTGTTTAACGCTTTTCTCAGCTCAAGTGTGAGAGGCTTTTGTCATTTTGTATTATGTCCCTTTCTGTTAACAGAATCCCATAGTGTGTGGTAATTAAGCAAACATACTCACTCATGTATTATAAGTTTATTATTCGTCATGCAGCAGTTTACTGCATATCAATTAAGTACAATTAAGTACAAATACTACACTTTTTACCCAAACATTTGAGATCAGACAAAAAGGTGTTTTCAATTATTTACTAGAGATAAGTTTCAGCCCTGTTTGGCACACAGGGACATTTTCAGTGGTGATGTTTTCTGAATGTGCCTTTCAGGGGAATGCATATTTCAAAGAGGGGAAGTATGAAGCAGCTGTTGAGTGCTACAGCAGAGGCATGGAGGCGGATAGCATGAACGTCTTACTGCCCGCCAACAGAGCCATGGCCTTCCTCAAGCTGGAGAAGTAAGCACCAACATTTATTTCACCAGCAAATTTTTTTTTTCAAAGTGAAAATGCTCTCTGCTAGAAGAAGATTAAAAAATTACATTTTCTGTTTGCTGCAGGTACAAGGAGGCAGAGGAGGACTGCACCAAAGCCATTTCTCTGGACAGTACTTACTCCAAGGCTCTCGCCCGTCGTGCCACAGCCAGGGTGGCTTTAGGGAAACTGCAGGAGGCCAAACAAGGTGCTGTGCAGAACAACACTGTCCTCCAAAGGCATACAGCAGCAACTACATTTAGTCTGTTTTTAACACCTGGAAGACTAAAATCACATATCTATCTGTATTCTTCTAGATGATCTGTGCTTCTGTAGTTGCTTTCATTTTCATCCTTACTTATGTTATCGTATTTTAAGCCAGTTCACAGTTATGGCTCAAGTTACGTGTAGTTGGGTTCAATTCTAAACAAACTAACTAAACATGCAAATGTTCAACTAGAGTTGTCTTACATTGTGTGTGTGTGTGTGCGTGTGTGTGTGTGTGTGTGTTACAGATTTCCAGGAGGTGTTGAAACTAGAACCAGGGAACAAACAAGCCCTGAATGAGCTCCAGAAACTCCAGATTGTAAGTTTCAGAATCTTATTATTGGTTCAATTAAGCACTGTTTAAATGATAAATACATGGATGGTAAAGACCCTAAGTTGAAAACATAAAGAGCAGTGTTACTGTTAAAATACAATTCTGCTTTACAAACATATATTTTAAACCTATTTTTACCCTGAACTTTGCATTCTTTGCTGATGGTTGTTAGTAGAGGAATAAACTTGCTCTCAGTCACTATGGCAACACTACTGTGTTTTAAGTGCCTCTGGCAGTAAGAATTGACATAAGTGATTAAATTTCAATCTGATGTACAAATGACTAATGGACACGTCAGACTTTATTAGCGTTGATCTTCTACAGACTTGACTCCTCTCTTCTTAATGTGATTGTGTTGTGTCAGGATGAGGGTTCCAGCGGCCTTCTACGAACAGCAGACAGCATGCAGAGGAGAACAGTCCAGCCCATAGACAAACCAACACATCTGCAGTCATCTGTGAGCTGTCATTTCTAAATTTATAATTATACTTTTCCCTCATTGCAGAAGTCTTTTTTGGTGAAAAAACTGCCTCTGAATACTGACACCATGGTGTGTGCAGGGTCTAAAATCCAATAATGATGAACTGATTTTCCTTCCTATCCAGTATGAACATAAAATAGGTCTTAAATTGCTTTCATAATGTTCTTAAATTTAACTCTAACTGAAACCTGCAGAAACTGGCAACAGTAAAGGCAGTTTGTTCCTCATTAGTTTACACAGTACACAGCATCACAAATTGCATTAAACAGAATTCTTTTGTTTTTTTGGACAGTTTGTCTGAGAAAATAAGCGATTTGAGACATAACTTTGGGCTCAAGGAAGTTGAGATACAAATTATCTTCCATGCTTCTTTAATGTTTACATGCTGTAACATTATTTGTCCAGCAGATGGCATGATAGACAGTATACATAAATTGAAAGTCTGGATTCTGTAACCTTCATCTAGTAGTGTCTTTAATAGAATTCAATTCAGTATTTTATTTTGAAAGAGTTTTTTAATAAACTGTGTCATTGACTTAACATCTAATGCTCTCCAGAAACCACTGAGGAGGATTGATATTGAGGAAGTGAGTGGAAAGGTGTCAGTGTCTGAAGTGGACTCAGGTGGGTCCAAGTCCTTCGTCCAGGAAGTGGAGAGGGAGGCTGAGGACGAGACCTCTCCACTGTCGACATCACCCAGTGCCAAGATGATCAAGATCGAAGAGATAGCGGAAGTCCCTTCACACTCATCTGACGGGTTAGCGGCTCTACCTCTTCTATTTCCTTTGTTTTCTGTGTGATTGTGACACACCTTCAAAGCACTAAATGCTGCATTATGTCGTGGAATGTGGTATCGACTATTACCACCGAGTTCTGTTTCTGTTTCCCAGAGTTCCCTCGAGCAGACAGACCGAACAACCAGTGCAGCAGGAAATCGCTCATCCTCCGGAACCATCAACCAGCCCTTCCCCGCCAGTCATAGACCTTCCTCCTCCGCCCACCAACAGCTTCCAGCTGGAGGCCGACCTCCGCAAGATCGGAAAGCAGCCTGAAGTGATTTACAGATATCTGAGGGTGAGCTGCGGGTGTATGGTGATTTGCTGATGACAAGATCACATTTGTGTGTTCATAATTCTATACAGTAGGGCTGCAACTAACTATTATTTTCATTATCAATTCACCTGTTGATCATTTACTTGATTTATTAATTAGTTGTTTGGTCCGTAATGTCAGAAAAAACTGATCAATATTTTTCATTTTTTTCTGACATTACGTACAAACAACTAATTAATAAATCACGTAAATGATCAACCCAAAGCCCATGGGGGGGTCCTCAAATGTCTTGTTTTGTCCACAGTCCAAAGACATTAAGTTTACTGTCACAAAGGACTAAAGAAAATAATAATAAATAATATAGAAAGAAAATATTCAGATTTGAGTAGATGAAATCTTCCAAAATTTGGATATTTTTTTCTTTAAAAATGACTTCAAATGATTAATGAATTATCAAAGCAGTTGGCAATTAATTTAATAGTTGACGACCAATCGCTGCAGCTCTCGACATTCTCATTGCCACTGTCAGCCTGGTCTGATCTCTATAGATGTCATTTGAATGTGGCTTTACATTTGACAAAATACAGTCTCTGCGATGAATTGGATGAACAAATAAGACTTGATGCTGAACACAACCTAAAGATCAAGATCACTCTGCATTGTTTTATTTTAACTGAAGCTCTCAGCCTTGTTTTTGTTCTCGTCCTGAAGCAAATCAAGCCCGACGCGTACGTAAACATTTTCCACCACTCCCTTGAACCTGACATTCTCAACCAGATCCTGAGGATTCTGCATTGTTTCTATATCAAGTGAGTTTTATGAGGCACTCAGAAATAAATAATCTAGAAGCGAACTGGTTTACATGTGTAGTATTGTACTGTACATTAACGTCAGTCTTGTGCAGGAATGAAGCCCCCACCACCACGCTGGAGATCCTCAAGAGTCTAGCAAGTGTGAGACGCTTCGACATGGCTGTCATGTTCATGTCGTCCCCGGAGAAGAAAGGTTGAGTGTCTTTGATGTACTGTTGCAGATGACTCATACTTTTCACCCACACTGTCCATCACACTGATTACTGCTTTTCTTTTCCCCCAGTGCTTAAAGAAGTGTTTGACTTCCTCCACCAAGCTGAGCTGGAAGGATCAGCTGTCACAGCCTTGCAGAAGAAGTACGGACTGTGAGGCTTGGATTTGAGGCAAAGCTATAGATTTTAAATTTGTGCTGCATTGTTTTCAAAGCCAACAGAACAATGTAGATATATTCTAATACTGAATAAACTTTCATAAAAATTCACTTTCTCTAATTTGGACTGCTGTATTATGGCCCTTTATCTGTGGAATAGGATGCCATCTTCTTCCTCTATTCATGATGGTGCTTTTATTGAAAGTTGGGAGTTGGAAATTTACACATTTTAAATTGTAATTCTGATGCCTTTTAGTGTTCAAGCTCATAAAAACACGTATTTCCAGTGTAGAATCCTGTTCCCTGTGCAACAGCTAATGTCATCATTGATACTCTCTGTATTTAACCATTTACTGCACAGCTGTTTCTATCAATCTATTAGCATGCATTCTGAGAAATAGTTGTATAGTCTATAAGTGTAGGATTATGCACATCCAATGTATTTGGGCTCAGATGCTGCATAAAGGCAAACTATAGAGACGGTGGAAAAGGACCTGTATGCTGAAATCAGCTGAAATTGACACTTGAAGCTCAGATTGCAGCAGATATTTTACTTGGATACTCTGGGATCATAAATGTATCGTCGAGTTAAAATAGATTCAGACGTTCTATGAGAGGGAATTGTGAATTTCCGACTTTCCAATTAATCTTGAATGCAAGGTAAAGCTATGGATCGGTCTCTGTGAGCACTCCGCCCTGTTTGAATCTTCCTCCCGTTCTCAAGTAAATCCTGATGCTGCATTGGCTAAACCGGGTTAGACTATATAGCGATGGAGGTGTTCAGTTGGAGTCACAAGTGTTACTCTGAACTAGAAATAAAATTGTATTTTGCCATTCGTGTGTGTGTGTGTGTGTGCTGTTGTTGAGTCAGTAACTACAGTAGGTCAAATCTTTTCTAACTCTGCATTGTGTGTTCTAAAATGTGTCAGATGGGTGGTGAATCAACACTGTAATCGGTAAACGCACAGTAGGTCATTGTTTATTAAGTATAATAGTGCATATTGTTTGGCAAGAGAAATGGGAATACATCATGAAAAGAAAATGACTAGCCTAGTGTAATTAAACCCCAAAACGTATTACTCAAGCACACAATCCATAAGTCCTTTCTCCATACCTGTCTAATCTTGTTCAGGGTCACAAAGAGGTTGGAACCTGTCCCAGAATGCATTGTGATAAAGACAGGGAAACACCCTGTTCAGGTTGCCAATTCCATCACAGTCAGCATACACTGTGCTTGAGCAAATATACCCTTACACATACAGTAAGTGTCATTAATAAAAGATTACCAAAGTATATATCTTTGTGCTCCGCTCTGCGCAGAGTGTTCGCAGATCAGGAGAATGTAGTTTGCATGTAGAGTACAGTTCTTCCAGTGTCTCAACATCCACACCAGTGAGGATCTGCAGAGAGAAGCACATAAATTAGAACGGACAGCAGCTACGAGCTTCGTCTAAATTCGCTTAAACCTCCAACAACAGCCTACCTGAGACACTGAGCGTCTCATAGGCCGTTGCCGTCTCCCTGGTGTATGTGTTCTCAGCCTGGCAGCTGATGGACTCTTTGGAAACATGGCGGTTCACCGTGATGTCAATGGCACTACCCTTGATGGTTTTTCCAGACACGGTCCATGTGAACGTGCAGGAAGGAACGCATTCAGCTGAGCACGTAAAGCTCGCCGTGACCCCGATCTCGAGGGTGTCTGGTCCTGAAATGATCACGTTCAGTGGTCCATCTGCAAGAGAAGGGACACAAATAAAAGCCAAAAGTCTTTTTGATTTTTCTTTGTAGTCAGAAAGGCTATGCAGTTAGAAATAGATTTGGTTGTTGTTAAAAAAAACATGAGCTCAAATTAAATTTGTTTTATCATTACTTGCTATTTGCAGCGTTGTTTCATCATTCATTGACAATCCTGTGTAAGGGTTGACTGCCGTGCAGGTCAGGTTCATTGCTGGTTGTGCTTCCTCAAACTGCAAGGTCAGCTCCGGGCCCTCAGAGGTCATGTTACCCCAGGTCCAGGTTAACTTGCATGCCGGGTAGCAGTTGGAACCGCACTGGAAATCATACTGTGTTCCCACAGTCAATATATTTGATCCTTCGAGCACAATACTAGTTGGCCCATCTGTGGTTGGAGGTAGAACCGAAAGACAGACAGACCTCTTTAAAAGTTGCATTCATTTACAGTATGATTTTTTAAAATCCAACAAGGAGAAATCTTTTGTCAATAAAACGTTATATGTAAAGTTATTCAGACATTTTAGTTATTGCATGCATTCATTGTTATTGGAATAGGCCATTTTGTTGTATTTTCATGTACAACGTTAGCAAGGAAAAGTCGGCAAAGCCTGACCTTCATCACCTTTGAATGTATGTCGTTTCCAGCAACTTGACACCTAATTCCCCAGATCCACTTTGTTTGAACTTTTCAAAGAGAACCACTAAGAAGTAAAGTAAGTTTAGGACTTGGGACTTGATTTAGGACTCGATTGCAAAGACTTGAGACGTACTTGGGACTTTCAAAACAACTTGCTCCCACCTCTGGTGGCCTTGGGCCTTGCTTAAGCAGACCTCCATATATATTATATATTATATAGTTTATGAAGAAGCAGAAAACATATCTTGATCTCTTTTGTAGCCACTTAATCTCTCCAGCGCTTCACACAATGACAACTTGGTCCACGTCTCTAACATATTGGACACCACTGTCTCACTCCATAATGAGATGACTGCGATGACGCCAGTATACTCACAGATTACTTGCATGTTGTAGCTAACCGACTGGATGGGGGTGTCACCGTCTTTCACCACACATTGGTATAAACCTGAATCTGACCACAGGAGATCACTGAAGGTCATTGTGGTGTTGTCAGGGGAGAAATTCAGTCCTTCAGATGCTGGCATTGGACGTTTGTTCTTCAGCCATGTAATGGACACTGGGTTCTGAGAGCCGACACACTGCAGGGAGAAAGAGTTGCCTGCCAGTGGCGCGGCTTGAGAGGTGGGACGCACCGAGATGGGGTCTGTGCAGAGAGAACATTCAAAACACCAAGCATGGACATGAAAGACATGATGTGATTAGTTTCTTGTACCTGATACCGTGTTTTATTCAAAAATAAGGTGGTAGCAATATCACACTCACCGGAGACAGTGAGGTTCTTAGTGGCGGTGATAGTGGTGTGAGATATGGTGTTTGTTGCCTCACAGATCAGAGGCTCAATCTTAGCATAGTCGCTAAAAGTAATCTCCAGGTGACTAGTGAACTTTGGCTTGTCCCCCTGGTTCAGGATGGGTATCTGGACTACGCTACCCTGGAAAGTCTTCCCCATGTACTTCCATATGAAGTCACAGGATGGGATGCATGTGGCAAAGCACAGGAACGTGTACTGTTTTCCCATCACCACTTTACTGTCACCAGTGATGCTAATGTCAGATGAACCTAAAGGAGGAGATATGAAAGAGACATTTTAATGTATTGTTTTGTTTTACAGATGCATTTTACAGTCTTCATCAGCAACTTGAACTGGCTCAGGAGTTTACTTGTTTTATTTCTGTGATAAAACCACTAATTCTAGGTAAAGTAAGCTAACATTAGCTAACTTTTCATTTGTAAAAGGAAGATTGTGTTATTTCTTCTTTCAATTCAATTTCAAAAAATTGTATAAATCAGGCTTTAATCCAGTTGAAAATTGAATTGCTGTAAAGTTATATAAATTATAGCATAATGGTAATTAAGACACAGAAATGCAATCCAAATGTAATTAGAGGTGACTTACAAAAGCATCTAATGACAATGTAATATGCAAATAATCCAGTTACATAAATTTGAATCAAACAATGCATTTCTCACTGACTTCATTCATGTATAGCAAAACTTTAACAGCAGTCACACGCAGGTTTCTTACGCAGTATACCCAGTGGGGTATATTGCATGAGAGAAATATTGATTTTCTTTTTAACGTTTGTTGCTTTATGTTAAACTTATTTATTGTTCATTCTCATTAGAGGTTAAGTTCTTTCACATACTTGCCACCCACAGAAACAGAGTCGTAGAGATGTAGAGGTGTGAGACGGTGTCCTGAGCCTCACACAGCAGAGTTTCAGAGTCGACGGTGCTCGTAGGTGGAGTGACAGAAATTGTGTTGCCTTGCGAGGTACTGAACACCTCCTCATCAATGATAACGCTCCATGAGTAGCTGCAGGAAGGGTAGCAGTCAGCTGAGCAGGTAAAGACGGATTCAGCACCAAAGGTGAGCATGGGTGGCCCGCTGAGCTTTATGTTCGATGGTCCAGCTGAAAGGTTTGTAAGTAGATTTGGTTGAAGGACATGATGCTGAAGGAACTCATGCATTTTAATTCACTTTGGTTCTTCCTACCCGTCACTTGCAGCGTCTTGTGGACTGAGGCTGACTTCCCCGTGGCGGGATTGACCACTGTGCAGGTCAGGATCTGTGTGGGAATTCTGTGCAGAAGCTGTAGGCTCAGCTCAGGCCCCTGAGAGGTCACGTTCCCCCTGGTCCAGCTGTAGTGGCAGTCTGGGAAGCAATTGGACGTGCACTGGAACCCATAGAGGATTCCCACTGTCACTAACCCGACCCCATAGATCTCCACTGAGGATGGCCCATCTGATAATTTAAAAAAAAAAAATGTTTCATTAGAAAGTATTCAACTTGTGAGGAAATTGTAACCTGTGAAAGAAGACTATGACATTCAGCACAATGCGAGAATCAGAAAAGAGCAAATAAAGTTTGCTTTGGTGCAGTTTTTAAACATTTGATGTCAGTAATTCAGACTCAGAATTAAAAGGATCTTACATGAGGTTTCCCCCACGGCTCCACCCTGCTCCTTTTCACTGGCAGAAAAACCTTGGATAAGATGAAAAGAGAATACATTAACATCGTTCATTTTCTGGTTGCAACACTGCAAGCCAAAACAAATCTAATCTAAATAATTACATTTTAAAAAATCATGTAATTTTTGCAGCATGCATTTTTCAGAATTGATAATTCTGCTGAAATGCTGGTTGATGCCAGCACATGATGACTCAGCTGGGCAGCCTCTTACCTGCCAGGCAGGAGAGCAGCAGCGGCAGCAGCAGACGGGCTGAGAGATGAACCATGGTGCTGCAGACAGTCTATCAACACTTCTATAACCATCCACACTCTTATAACGCATTGGAAACAAAGGCCTTGCCCACTGTTATCGCACACTACACACAAAACACAGACAAATGAGCCAGTGTTCCTGGCAAAGGAGTGCAACATGTTGGTTATCAGCTGGGTTTATTCTCTGCAGAGGGTGTGCGTACAAGCAGCCGACGAGTTGTGTGGTTTTGTCTTCTGTTGGTTGCGTTTGTTTCTTTTGTACCTGCAGTGATAATCCAGGTCAGATAATGTGGCTCCCTCTGCTTTCATATCTGCCCGTGGTTGCAGATGTAAAGATTCTGAACTCAATTTATCACAGCATCTTGATAGAATACAACTGCAGCTGTCTCTGGAGCTGGGGCTGATATGTTTTGGTGTTTACTTTGTGGTTCTGTTAATGTAATTATCTTTTATTAATGCCTGTACTGTATGTTATCACTGTGGGAAGTCTAACCTACATTACTCGTGATTTTGATGTAAAAGTTCTTGCGTGTTGTCACCTTAATTTAAAGTGTAATAAGCACTCTTCCTTGTTCTTCTCAACCACTAAGAAATACATTTACTTTGCTGATGCCACAGCATTGATATCTGTTGGCATTTGGGGGCATTGTGTGAGCTTTAGATTTCACATTTTTGGTTCCTTTTGGCTCAACTGGATTTTCTGGACAGGATGTAAGACATGAAATATATGGAGAAATTATTAACTAATAATTATTATTAGTAGTAATTATTATTAATAATAATAATAATAAGTCACCTAAACCTGCAATAAATGATTTTTACTCCATTTGTGGACAGCAGAAACAAACATTAAACATCTCAAGCTGCTGAATCAGAACGGTCCAAAGTGGGCTTCCCAAACCACGGCCTCTAAGGGTTAAAGTTTGGGCCCCTCTGATCTAAATACCCCTCTATGTTCACTAGCTAGTCACTGACTGTGTCTGTCTGCTGTTGGTGCTGGGCTGGTAGTTAACAGTTGGTTTATAGAGCTTTATCACAGAGAACAGCTGTCTGCTTCGTCTGAAAACAACGCTGTAAGAGGGAAAGGTTAATTTTTTATTTTCTTATTACTTAAATGTTTACGGTGGAAAGAAATGATTGCACTCAGGAAGTGACACGGCTGATCCAGTGCATGTCCACTGAATGCACACCTGCCCTCTAAGTTATACATAATAATAATAATAATAGTTGCATTAACTATGATTTTATTTCCTATTTAGAGACAAAACTTTGTCTAGTGACTCCCAAACTGTGCCTCGGGGTCTCTCACAATTACAATTACTGTCACAATGAGAACAAAGTAGTGCCAGTGATGTAGGTGTACAATAAACCTAGAATTAAATCTCTGCTGTTGGTGTGGTTTACAGTCCATCTTTTGTAGATCAAAGAGAAAGTACTAGCCACAGTGAAGTACTTCTTAGAGTGTTTGTCAGTGGACTGATAGGAACCCTGGGTGGGTCCTTTAACTGTCAATGCTGTTTGCCAATGTAAGATTACAGCAAAGGTACCTGAAGCGTGGGGAATGTTGAATTTAAATTACATATGAGTAAGACACTTTCTAACCTCATGCCCTAAATATAAAATCTTGAGACAAAAACACTTCCCAAACATTTCCCAAATATACCCCGAATTCAAATTTATATCAGACACACAGAAACTCCCCTATTTACTGGGAGAAATGCCAAAAAGTCAAATTATTGCAGCAAAATATGTCTCCTCATGCCACGAACTGAGGACAACCAGTGGAAACTCAGATAAATGTATAAAATAATTGATTGTTGTTGTTTTTTTGTTGTTGTTTTGTAAAACACACACACACACACACACACACAACACACACACACACACACACGTTTACAGGTTTATCTATTTTATTTTAATTTTAATATATTTTAATATTTAATAAATAATTTGTTATTACTGTTATATTGACAACATACTACTTGTTTTAACTGTTGACTGTTACTTTACTACTGTTTTAATGCCATTTTTAGTTGACACAAACTGATTGATTGATTCATTGTAATTAATTCCTTATTGACTGAGATTGATTGATTGGGACTGTGATTGTGATTGAGTCAATCATAGTTACAGTATTACCAACAGTATAGATTATAATTAATTTATTGTAAATATTGTTTTCCTTTATTGTTATTATTATTATTTTTAATTCCAAACGCTTGCTTTGGCAATATGTACAGCGTTACGTCATGCCAATAAAGCCATTTGAATTATAGGATTAACATGGAGGAGTTATTTAATACAGATCTGAGTGCTGTACCAACACCCTCCAGCCTGCAGGTGGAGCTTAGGCTGAATCAAGGCTATCAGATCAATTTGAGTTCCAGAGTAGTTTAAAGCCCTACACACACACATTTTGTCGCACTTTTAAGAGTGATGCTAACTACAGCTTTATGTTTTTTATTAGTTCATTGGGATTAGTGACCTCTGATTATTTCCAGCACAGCCCCACCCAACAACCTGAGCAGAGGTCTATTAGCAAAAACCTGCGTCTAAAGCTTCTACACTGACATACTGGATTTATTTAAGATTTTATTACAAGTGTGAGATGGAGTGTTTGGTCACTTGAGAAAAAGAGTCTTGAGGTAAAAGTCATCAGTGCGTTTTATTTATCTACAGGCATAAAATGTTTAATATTTCAGATGTATCAATGCAGAAGAATCGTACAAATATCCTAACAAGTCAACAAATTCTGACATTACATGTGCACACTCCCTGCTGCTTCAATTGCTTCTCTGCGTCTCTCGCTAGAAAGTGCAAACAGGGTTCAACCCACTGTCAACATACAGACTGTTGGAAAGGAATAATATGCAGTGTGAGATCACAGGTACATGAGTCATTAGTTCTCCATAATTCAACCACCTTTCTTCATCACAGAGTCATTCACAGGATGTAGAAAGACCTGACAGACGGAGACAAAGACAGAGAGACAAGGGGGGAAAGGCTTTTTATGATGGAACAAGTGCAATAAGTCAATACCTGCAATTACAGCTAAAACAGTTAGACCAAATTATAAGAAATCAAACTTAAAAAAAATCTACAAATAACAATATTAGTAAATGTGTAATAATAAAAACCCTTACAATTATGAAAAACATTTAAAAAGCAACCAAAAAAAGAAGATTGTCCCATGCTACAGTAGATGATCCTCTGTAAGTGTCACCTGTTTGCAGTGGGATCACAGTGTGAATGCAGCAGAAACGATGAAGGCCAGCAGCAGCACAGCTGAAGTCTCTCCAGGACGAGTGGACAGGCTGCGATCTGACCCTGAACACAAGTAAATGGATGTCCAACAACAGCAGACGGTGTTAATATGCTGTAAGATTATGTAAATTAAACTCTTTTATGGCTTATCTACCTGTTATTTGTATAGTTTTTGAGGCTGTTGCTGTCTTCCTCGAAGCAGTGTTTTGGGCCTCACACTTGAGGGTGACAGATTTAAATGGATGATCCACTGTCATCTCAATCACATTGCCCCTCACAGTCTGACTGTCCACAGACGACACGTAGCGACAAGAGGGCAGACATTCAGCAGTACACACAAACTTGTACTTTTTGGACATTTCTATTACATCAGCGCCTTTGATCTGAATCTCTGATGGACCAGCTGAAACAGAGATAGCAAGCACAGATCATTGCTCAGAAAAAGCTTGTAAACTGTATTTTATTTAAAAATGCTAATATAATAGATTATTTTATATGGTGTGTTGTCTTTAAATGTGATAACTGGTTCCAAAGTGCAAACCATCGACATCAAGGTTGTTGTTTTTTTTGGAAAACTTGATATATTTGCAAATGACAGTTCAGTTTTGTGTAAAAGTTTTAAAGTGATCTAATGCTTATTCATGAAGCCATACTGGAGGTTAAGCAATGTTGGGGAGCAACTGCTAGTTGTGTTTCTAAGTGTACAAATTGTCTGTCTCAGCAACAACATTGTTAACTTCATCATTTCGTACCTGATTAAGTGTAGGTGTTAGCTGATTAGCTAACTTATAACTGGTCGTCCAATTAATTCACAAATTAAAGGAATCATTTTACATTTTGGGAAATGCAGTTATTTGATTTCTTGCCGAGAGATTGATACCACTCTCATGTTTATACGATCAATATGAAGCTACAGCCAGCAGCTGGTTGGCTTGTCTAATATGTGTGAAAACCAAAGTGTAAACAGTCTTGTTGACACCTTGCCTGACGACCAGCCGAGACTCTAGGAAGTCACTGCTCCCAGCCAAGAAATAGGCCGGGACATAACCCCCCATAAAACCACAACATGTCGTTCTTTCACTTTTTTTTTTGTCAAAATTTAAAAAAGATATAACATACAGAGCGAGCTTTTGAGATTTTTGTGGGCCAATGTAGTTATCTTTTGACAGACGCAGGCGGCTAGCTGTTTCTAAGCTAAGCTAACTATCTCCTAGCTGTAGCTTCATATTTATCAAACAGACATGAGGGTGTATACATTTTCTCATCTAACACTTGGCAAGAAAGTCTGTAAGTGTGTTTTCAAAAAGTCAAAACTATTCAAAAATGTCTTTAACTCTTAAAACTAGGACCTTCAGGACCTTTCACCCCACTATACATGTAGTGAAACTCTTCACTTACATATCACAGCTATGTTTCGAGTAGCGGCGACAAACAGCCCGGACACACTGTTGGTGGCTTTGCAGATGAGGATTTTAGAGTTGTCCATCTCTCGAGGAGTGACCGAAATAACATTCCCTTGACCACTAATCCATGGACCTTTATCTATCTTCCAGGCATAGGTACAAGATGGCCGACAGTAGGCGTGACAGCTGTAGGTGTGGCTCACTGCCGGATTCATCAACTCAGGGCCTGTGATGGAAACGTTGGCAGGTCCAGCTAAGGGAAAGACATTCACAAAGCACCCTAGTTGTGATTATAGGTCAATTATTCTAAAAGCCATGGTCCAAAGTTTCCGTGCACCAATGCTAACGATATCTATCTGTTTAACAACTATCACTTACCTAACACTTGCAGTTTCTTTGTAGTTGTGGCAGTCAGCTTTGTTTCGTCATCTGTGGCTGTACATGTCACTGTTAAGGCCTCCGCCCAACTGTTAACAGTGAAGGCTAACACATTGCCCTGACCCTGGGCGCTCTGTCCGTCCAAAGACATAGAATAGGTACATTCGGGGCAGTTGGCAGCACATTCGATGCTGCTCGGCACACCCACAGTCACATAATCCGGACCGAAAATTGTACAGTTGAATTTCTGATCCTCTGAAAATGAACAGAACAGAATAACCACTACGATGTATCTGGATGAGCAGCTTTAATATAGGTTTTATTGTCTATTTGAATGACAAATCACTTACCTATATCATCATCATCTAGTTCAGGGGTCTCTCCATCTGTAGACAGTACTGTCTGAAGGCCTACACAGTCAATTAAAACATATTCCATTGTTATCTAAAACCCAGATACTGTTAAGCATTAAAGTTTAATACTATTTTAATTAACAAGGCTATGTAGCTTTAACATTTTACAAGAAATAAGAAACAAGTTTAAATAATTTAATTAATTTAGTTAAATTCACCTTTGCAGTTTATATTCATACATGGTCTAGCATGACCAGCACAATTTTGGCTAATGTTAGCTCTGTGTAACAGACATTAATGAGTCAGTTTGCTAACTTAATAACCTTTTTGTGCTAGCTTTAAAGTATCTTTTTTGCATTATCCCATTGTAACTGCTGTAATTGCTTTAGCAAATGTTAAGTTTGCAATAACCTATATATTATTATACAACAAGTATTATCATCAAAATATTCATATATATAAAACTAGTGCTCATTTTGCAGCAAAGTACCCGTTGAGTGTGTAATATTATTATTCGATTATTTTCACTAAATGTGTGCGTAGCATTTTACAGTTGTAGCTGGTTGAGGTGGAGCTAACTGTAACTATTTTAGGCCTATATAGTGTTCTGTTGTTTAATCTATAACAATGCTTCATATTTTAAAAGCTGTTCTTTTTTGTATGTAAAATCTTCATCTGAAAAAAAACTTTTAACTATAGCATTCGAGTAAAAGTACAATATACTTCTGAAAGGTATCGAACTAGAAGCATAAAGTAACTTGAAAAACTCAAGTAAAATAAAAGTATAGCTAAATTGCAATGTAGTGCATGATCTATCACATTTATAATATACACAAAGTGAGGACTTTTCCTAGTAAAGATACAGTAAAAAAGGTTTTCCCAACAGCCATTAAAATGGAAGCACTCCCACACTGTGCCAAAGGACCATATTCTCACAACTATAATCTGAGTCAGCCACTGGTATTTTTATCAAGAGGAAAATCCTTATATTACCTGCCACAAACAGCAGCAACAAAAGCCTGCTGAGATGTGAGTGTCCTCCATTCTGTTTAGATATGTAGGTATTATCCATTGTCCCGTAAGACCCTGAAGTGTACAGCCACGAGGAAATAGACAGCTGGAACTGCATAGCCAGTCAGTCAACATCAGCAGGCAAACAGCTCTTATCGGAGAGAGTTGGGAAGAAACATATCTGCCTTCTTAGTCACTCTAATGGAAAATCCATTGCTTTTTATTTATGACAGATCAAAGTCAGAAGAGTATGACTTATATTGGTTGACAAATAACCAATTTCGATCTATTTACTGGTGAATCTTGGGTATGTTTTCCAGATGGGAGTCCATGGAAAAGCTCAGTTGTTCAGCTAAAGTGGAGGATTAGCAGCGCTCTTTTGTTTAGACGTCTAGTTTAGGGAGTGTTTTGGAGATTGTATGATGGTGTAATGGTTGGGAGACTGGCCCAAATAGGGAAATGTCACAGGTCTGGTCACTTTAAAGGGGAATATGTCCCAAACAAATCAGGATTTCATATTGGAAAGCACACGTACACAAAATGTAACATGGTATCACTAGTACTCAGAGTAAACACCTAAAATAAAATATGAGAATTAATCCTTTTTTGTCAAGTTGAAGGGTTCTGTGTTTCATTTACAGCTGGAAATTGTGTGAAGGAACCACAGTGGTTCATATGATGTGTGTGACAACATTATTCACTTCTGCATTCCCAGCATTCACCTTGGTTCTGTACAATAGGTGACCTCGCCCTTAGTTCCAGAAATACGTCCATTATCAGAATAAATGATCAAAATGTAAACAGACAGAAAAAACTGCTACTTAATGGATACACTAACTTTAAGGAAGCAGTAGCAGTTAGCATGAATTTAAACATGTCTAATAAATAACGGACAAAATAATCTGGCCCACAAAGAGAATGACAGCTGAGCCTCTGAACAATTGAGCAAATCACATTTATTGAAAGAAAAATATCCATTATTCCTACACAAACACAACAAAGTCAACAAGAAAATACTATTTTGGGTGCAAGTGTTTATGTGTGAGCGTGTGCAATTTGGAGTTTGAGAAAGTGTGCAGAGGTATGTGTGTACAGTGTGTATACGAGTGTGCTCTTAAAGTGACGTCTCTCTGGAGTCCCTGGGCGGCCTGAAGGTCAGTATCTCTGTGAAAGTGTGACCTGCACAAAGACAAAAGAGGAGATTATGCATCTGCCATTCTACATCATGTCCGTGTCCTATTTTCAGATCAAAGTTCAACCTGTTTCTCTCCTGTTGTAGGACACCGATAGAAAATGGAACCTTCCATGTGTTGTCAAGTGTTAAAAGAAGCATCAAGTAAGATCTTCAGTGACCTCCTCTGGCAAACAGCAGGTACTGTAACAACCAGCTACATAACTCTCTCCCCTCTTGTCCATCTGAATTTTACTAATTTGCCTGAAAATTAATAACACTAAATGCCCCTTAAAGGAAAATAAAGCTGTAATAGATTTTTTGGTCATTTGGGGGTCGATGCAACAAGCTGTAAACACAACACTGACCTTCTGTCATCTTTTAAAACTGATATGGCAAACGTGTTAGAAAACCACATCCAGCTAAAAAGGAACAAATTAGCATTCATTTTAAGTTGTGTTTGACAATATAAGTCCAATATTAACTCTCCTTTTAGTTCTGTTTTGTTTCCACCAACTCCTATGGGAAATATTGGCTCTTTAGCAACTAAACGCTCCACTATGTTCACTAGCTAGCTGCTAACTTTGTCTGTCTGCTATTTGGTGGTCAGGTAGTGTTAAATGGGTTTGTCAGGGCCTTTTTCACAATAAACAGCTGCTGCAGCTGGAAACAGAGGGTTGTGAGAGTGAACCACAACAGTAAAGCTGCAGATCTTGACACCAAAGCAATGAGCTGAAAGAGGTTCAAATGATCCAGAACTGAGAGGAACTGCAGAATTTGGTGCTAATTTTCTGCAGGTTTGTCACTACAAGCGACACCTTTCATAATACATGTAGTCTCTTGACCTATTGTTGATATAAAAATATTGATGAATGCAGCTTTAAATCTAAATTGGCCTCTCCACTCTCTCTTACGTTTCCACTGGTCCAGCGGCAGATCAGTGTTGTCCATGGTCTGATCATAAGGCAGCGCTTCAGTCTCCTCGTCTGCATCTCTGTACTCGCTGAAGAAGGGCAGGTCAAGTGCCTCTGAGGCGCTCACCCTCTGCTCAGGGTCCAGAAGCAGCATCTTTTCCAAGACACACACTGCTGTTGTTGCAGAAACATATCAAGGTCAGCATGACAGAGTTAAGTGCACCACCATCTTGGTATACTGGGGACCAGAGATCTCTACGTACCACTTGAGCTAGCTTTGGAGAAAATTGAGTGCAAATCTTTTTTTGGCACTTTTGGCAGACTTCTGATGTAGTTTTTGGCCTTTCAAAAGAAGAAGTGGAGAGAAGGTTGACACATTCTTAAAGGGTAACTTCCTCACACAGTGTGGCAAACAACAAGCAATGGTTCTGCAATATTGAAGTACTTTTAAATACATTTAAATGAAAAATAATGCATTATAAACATAATTAAACAAAAGAAAATCACCTTAAAGTGTTATTCCACCCAAAACATATATGAAGCATAGTCTCACTATGTTCTTAACAGTCCTTGGTTCTTCCAAATATGGCTACTACATCTGTGTTGTCTTTTTGAGTTTTCAGGGAGCAAACTACACAACCACCTTTCAACTTTACGGCCAGTGAATGTTTCATACAGATTTTGCATTGAGTGTATCTTTATCATGTGAGTCTAACGCTGGAGTATGACTTACATCTTGGCTTTGTAGCTTCACAATGAAGTCAGCAGCTGGGGTTCCTGTAATCTTCATGATTTCTCTGAGCTGGTCCAGATCTGACAGCAGCTATGGTTAAGTATAATCTGTTGCATGTATTTTTACCGTTTAAATATGAGCTTTCTATATAGTCTATAATGCTAGTGTGATCAACGTGACAATAACATACAGTAGACACTGGGAAACGGGCATTTAAATGATTTTCATTACTAAGGATGGATTTCATTGTTAGTTTAGAAGGACAGCTACCCAGGATAAGAAGCGGACTCGTTTTTTCATGATTTCGACACATTGTAAGACAGCTACATCTTGCAGGTTGTCTTGCAGGACAAAACCAAGCAGCGTTGACCACAGTTAAGGATACGATCATTTCCTTTGAACAGTGGTTTTCCCAGCAGCATCTCTGCCATAATACAACCTGCCGACCAGATATCCACTGCAAAAGAGAGCAAACGTCAACTTCCTCGTCAAATCTGGGTTATGAAATAGGTCTCTTTACCTTTTTCTGCACCCCTGTTCACACAAACTACTGTGCGGAATGATGGTTTACCAGTTTGTGTGTAGTGCATCCAGTTGAGGATGACCTCAGGCGCTCGGTACCAGCGTGTCACGACATAGCCGGTCATTTCTGCGTCAGCCTGCCGCGCCAGGCCAAAATCGAGTATCTGAAGAAATAGTAGAAATTGAAATGACATGAAATGTGTAGATGTATGGGATGATCACATTAAAACAGCTTTGTGTAAAGTTGGTTTACCTTTAGCTCACAGTCCGGGTTAATGGCTAAATTGCCAGGTTTAAGGTCCTGTGGGATACAGAAATGTTAGACGGAGGAGATAATAGTTACACATTCAGTGATATGAGTCATTAGAAGACATTTGTTTGTATTTTTTTTTCATGTTTTGAGGTTTTTGGCTTCCTAAGACACACTTATGTGTATATGGGCACTTTGGATTCCTGAACTTTGACTGGAAGGCTGCTGCCTCTTCCAGGGCTAGCAACAATGAGCAACATCCAGCCATTCAGTATGAACATAACATATTTTGAATATTGGTTCATACAATTTCTACTGGTACTAAAGTGGGTAAATTCAAAGAGAGATGTATGGACATGTGAGACATTTCAGTAACAAACTAACAAACAGACAGCGTATCATTCTGTCTTGGTTTCAGAAAACTCCCTGTGTGGGAATCAGGATGAATGGGATTGAGTGTGAAAAAGAGCAAGAGCCCCACCCCCAAAGCTTATAGTCTGAAAGGTCAAAGTTCACGCACCCTGTGGATGATCCCTGCAGAGTGGATGTACTGAGGAGAGAGGAGATACAGACAACATCAGCAACTTCAGCTCAGCTCTCAGAAACAAGCATTTGACCCTCACTTTGTACTGTAATTATCAACAATGGTGAGTGATGGTACAAACTGTAATCACATTACTTTTTAAGTAAACTAAGACTTAATTTACACTCATGTTCACCACTCTAACAGATTGTCATATGATGCATATATATGCGTTGGTTGTCACCTTGAGTCCTTTCAGCATCTGATAGACGAGGAACTGCACTCTGTCTTCTGTTAATCGCTCCAGCTTCATCAGCTTGCTGAGGTCAGTCCCCATGAACGGCATCACCAGGTAACTGCGGACAAGAGAAGACGAGTCGAGTTTCCAGTGGAAAAAACATTTGATTTTATAATCAGCATTCAGGAATGGACGGAAACTTACAAGTCACGTAAGCGGTCCAATGAGATTTCAGCAGTAAAAACATCCAGGAGCCCAATTACCTGATCAGAAGAAATAAAAACAAACAAAAAATCTTTATTAAGACTGACCCCTAAAACTTCTCTTTCAATTTCAGCTTTGAAACACATATCCCTCCTTTCTTTTGCCTGAGGAGAGTGTTCTTACATTCTCATGCCTCATGTGTTTGAGGAGTCGCAGCTCTCTGTAGGCCCTTTTGGCGAAAAGTTTGGACTGGAAGGGTCGGTGAAGTTTCTTGATGGCCACCTGCGCCCCCGCCCGGCGGTCCCATGCTGAGCTGAAACAGACAGACACAAAGGTATATTATATATTATGTGACAAATCCAATTTTTGGAGCAAAACTTTAATCAATGTCTATGTTTAACATGTCCAGAAGGAAATCCACAGGTGTAATTATTAACATGCGGGACATGTAAATGGAACAGTGCCTCATTAATTCTATTAATTACACCCCAGCCTTCCCTGCTATGACAAGTCACGATGTCTGCTGTGACAAAAAGGTCTGTATGTGATTGAAGACAAAGTAGTGGTGCGTTCTATACACTTAACTCGGGGTCTTTGACTTCTTCCAACAATGAGACTGGGGGTTGGTTTTCTTTGTTGACCCTCATCCACACAACACAATGCAATGAGAGGCCCTGCAGAGCCAGCTGTGGAGGAACTACTGACCAAAATACCCCACACAAGCAGAACTGTTGCTGCAGGAATATTAAAGTATACTCAAGTAGAGGTAAAAGTACTGGTGTAAATATCTACTTGAGTAAAATAAAGTGAAACTGGCTCATTGTTATTGTTATAAAATATCCAGACAGGGTACTTTTTATTTTTAGTTTACTGGATGCAAATGAAAACAAAGAGTATTGGTTGCTTTCCCAGATACTATTGCACTTAAGAGTTTATCTACTTCCACACTGTACTTGCAACTATTTATATAGATGGAGAGGTGGTTTCGGGTGAGAATGCATTTGATTTGAATTTGAATGTGATCACATAGTCCGGCCTGTCTCCCAATCAGCTGATAACACAAATCCAATCACTCCTTCTCTGAGCCGTAAAGCTGACATTTTCCTCCTGAACTTACCACACAGTCCCGTACGCTCCTGTCCCGACCTGCTTCAGGTCCCGGTACCTCTCCGGAACCTCCCACACGGTTCTGTTTACCTCCTGCCGGGAGAACCCCGTCCTTGAGCGCACAGCCATACCCTACCGACTAGACACGGCTGGATGTGGGTCCCCTCGACTCTCGGGTCCGGTCCGCTGCGTCCTCATATGTGAACAAAGTGAGTTTTTATTGTAAAACGCACCCAAGACGCGCAGTCGGTAGCGCAGAGAAGAGTTTGTTGGGGCGCAAATTCCTCCAGCTGAAGCAGCGACCACTTGTGCGCGTCGCAGTTACACCCCCAACACACACAAACACACACACACACACACACACACACACACACACACACACACACACACACACACATTGTTACTCGTGGTTTCTGGTCGCCCAGGGCAGTCTATGGGTGTGTCTACAATGTGCGGGGGAAGCCCCCAAAACATCTGCCCATCCTAAGGTTATACCCCTATAATACTCTTAGAATACTTATAATAATGTTTCTGTAATGTCCCTGCAGAGGAGGCAAGCTCACCTGAGTCTTCAAATGACTGGTGATCATAAAAGGCCATAAAAAAATCTGCTTATAGAAGCCTCATCTAATTTTGATCAATTATATAATATTTTCTAACTAAATATATATTTTTTATTTTTTTACTTTTATTATTAGTTACAGAGTAAAATTGGAAAAAAAATGTTTTAGTGTTGTTGTATTTCTATAGCCTATATATATTGATCTTATTTATCTTCAGTGTAGGTTTTTTTTAACTGTCCTTTGGTGTCATTATAATGTTATATACCATACCATGTTATATTATATATATTATACTATTCCATATCATACTAAGCTTCATTATACTATACTATACCATACTATTGTATACTATGCTATGCTATATTGTACTATTCTATCAATCCAAACTATACTATATTATACTACAATATACTATTCTAGACTAGACTATATTATACTATACTACAGGGATGCTCGGGGATACCAAGTACAAGTACTTACATTTAATACAGACTACCGATTAGAGTACTAAATAATACCATTACAGTTCAAACAATGACATTTTATTTTCATCAAATGTTTCTCACTTGTATTAAACGACCTATTTCATAACATATTATTGTTTGCTTCATGTTTCACAGAACCTTATCCCAGAATGCATTTTCTCTACTACGCACCCCTTCTCTTGACAAAAGCAGAGCATCGTTTGCTCTACTTTTGTCATCATTATCTTATCTTAAAATATCTCCAAACTGCTGACATTGCTTCTCCTCCTCCTGCATGCTCCACTAACAAATAGTTTTATGATTACGATTATGAGTACATGAGAACAGTATCAGACTGTTTTGTGTATCCGAGTATTGGTATCGGTGCATCCATTCGATACTGTATTCTTTCTATGATATTACTGAACCTGGCTGCAGGGATTTGCTCTTATTCTGCCACAATACTACTAAGTTCAACCCCTGATTTTAGACATCAAGGCCTCACTCTCAGTTGATGTTCCAATTAATTCCAGTGGTGGATGGGGTTGAGGTCAGGGCTTCATGAAGGCCAGTTCACTAAACTTTAATACATGTTTATGAGACTCACTTCGACCAACACAACAGAGCCTTTCCCAAACTGTTGCAGCAGAGGTGGAGTATGTGGACAGGGCTGTCCATAAATCAAAATGGCTGACTATATAAGACAAGAAACATACTGCCAAACAGAAACAACGGTGTTTATTCTGTTGAAGCCAAGACTTGCCAAGTCATGTTACCCGTTGATAAATGAGAAAATCATCTGAATCATTTGAAAACTGAGAGTAGACATTCTGTTTAGTGATTTGAAACTCATGGCTACCGTAGAACCACATGCCACCATGTATTCAAAAAACGCTTCTAACTTGTAACATACATACATACAGTATACGTATACATTCGATTTGCAGTTTGCTATTCAAATCCACCACATATACAACATCCACATAAGCACATAACACTTTAACATTCAGAGCTCTAACACGCTTTGACTGAGACAGACAGTTTTGATTCATTTGGACTGTAAATTCAACATTTTGCATTCCAGTGTTAATGGACGACTTGCACAAAAGGCTACATGTAGCACTCCAGTGTGAACCATTACAGGGGGGAAAAGTTAAGAGCAGGTTTCCTTTTTATTCTTATGTTTTTTAAAAATTATTCCTAAATAGTAAATTGATGTTTTAGCAGAAATAATCTCATTGAGTAAGTGGATTAAGCCAGGGAACCACAGTTTACTTGCACAGCTATGAAGGAACACTGCAGAACGAGCTTGAGGCTCTAAAGAGCTGCTAGTGCTGCTCTTCACCTGCCATTAGTGTCCAACTTGTATCCAGATAGTACACAGATTAAGTGTAAGAACGCATCTGCAGCAGTCGGATATAATAAACCTCAAGTATGAGCTCTCCCAGATTGAAATTTCCCTTAACTTTAGTTCTTACTCAGTTGTTCGTCTTATATCTGCAGCAAAAACCTCAAATGAGCTTCAGGGCCAACCACATAGTATACTCCATACTCTATTTGTAGTAGTATATATATACATACCTAGCTGGCGAGCTAGGTTCAAATCAAAACTAACTTGCAGCTCTTTTGCTAATCTAAAGACTTACAAGTGTTGCTACTTAGAAAGTCAGTTAGGTAAATAACTCATTTATATCTGCTTTACACCTGCCTTTAGTGTCCAACCTGTATCCAGATAGTATACAAACTAATAATGTAGATGCAGCAGTCAGATATAAACTTGATTTATTGATAATCTTGATTTCCTAGCCTTTTGTCACCCCAAATGCCATCTGGCATGTGTAAATGTCTTTAACTTCTTATTCTGTTGTTCAGCTTATATTTGCATTTAATGCGTTCAGATTAGTTATTCCCTTTGAAGCTGACATTTAAGGTTTGTGTCTTGATTAGATTTATTTAACCTTGATGAAACTTCTGGGAACAATCTGTTTCAAAACACCAACAGAGTACAGTAAATGCATCTTAAGTGTGCTCATAAATATATTTATATCCCATTAAACATGATCAGATATCTGATCCGAAGACTAGGGTTCTAGACTGTACTTCTTCAGTTAATATCAGAGTACTAGACTGTGCCCTTTTTTAACCTATTGACATTTCATCCACTGACCTTCAGTATTGAGCTGGAAAACTTGTGGTTTGTTGGCTCTGTGCACTGTGGCTTAACACAACCAGTTTATTTCTACCTCAGCAAAAAGTTTATGGAACTAAAACTCCAGTCTGCTGCAAGATGAATGACACAATGTCATAGAGGAAGTCAGCCTTTTTATGTAATAATCTGCATGTGTTGAGTTCAAGCTGCTTATACAAATGTATTTGAGGGCGTACCTAAAGATGGGTATGGGTATAATAATGTTGCAATAAGCTATGAACTGTACTTGTGAAATACTCACAGTCGAGGTAAAGAACATGGTCACTAATGAACCTGAACACTCTGGTTTGTTTTCTTTATAACACTCAAGCATCGTGAAAATGAAAAATGAAAGATCAATAATGAGCTCCCTTGTTGCCATGAGCAGCCAAATATGGCTGCTTTATGGGAATCATCAGCCTGGAGGGTTTGACCAGTCATTGCTTGGATGGAGCTACCAGTTGGGTAATATATCATTATCGAACACAGTCAGTCACACTGTCTGGGAACTGTTTCTAACAGTTTACAAAAATGCCCATAATCTTAATCTTATTTATTGTAAACACAAACCGGGGCTGTAAAAGACACAGCAGAGAACTATGGAAACCTGATGGAGCACTGTCAACAGGTGATCAGAAATCAGCCATCAGCGGAAACTGTATATGAGAAGCAAGGTCACACTGTAAACACAGACCTGCAGCACAGTCACTCTGTTCCAGCTTTGGCATATATTAATTACCTTGCTAATCAATAGCACAGTTGGTGTTTACTATTCTGTAAGCAGGATGATTCCATCCAAGGAAGAGCAGTAGTTTTTCTTTTTCTTTTTTTCTTTTTTTTTTTTTTTTTTTACTGTGCGGAAATTATACAGATAAAACCGGTTAAAATTGGTCACATTTCCTGGTAATGCCGCTCTCTGACCCTCAGGCTGGCGTTACAGCAGCGTGGCAGATGCAATAAGCAGTCTTGATGGTTATAATACAGCACCGGTAATATTCTGTAATAATAAAATGCACATAAGTCATGCAGTAGTATGGAGGCGAAATGCTAAGCATGATGTGGCATTGCTGCAAGCCTTTAAACATGAATAGCATATATGAAAGCAGTGCCTGCTTATGGCATGTGTCATGATGAGGGACCAGACGGCACTCTGTCGTTGCTTTGGAAATCCTAGTGTGCGTTTTTTTTCCTTTTTTTTCTTCCTTCGATACCCTTCTACCAGTCTGTAAACACAGTTCAGTTCCATAAAGTTGCTCCCTCCTATGAATCCTTGCGTCCTCGGCGATCCCTGACATATAGCCACGTTGAATGGTTCCTCATTTTACCTTCACTGAGTGGAAACATAAGAGGAAGCAACTTTCTGGACTGGAAAGCTCCTTCTATCGGATTCTAAAATGCTCCCTGTAATTGCAATGTGTGCATCTTATCACGTAGAGACCGTCCTGCCCTGCTGCTCAAACAAACTCATGACAGGCAATCAAACACAGTCACAGGGAGCAGAGGGAACACAGAGTTTTCTTCAGCCGGCCCGCCACAGTCCTTCTCCCGCTCACTGAGAATGTGGTCCTTCTTCAGGTAAAGGTTGAGGCAGAGCAGAACAAGGATTACTGCTCCACCTGAAGGCTATCGGTCTTGCTGCCAGATGCTTTGAAGCTGTTCACCTCTTCGAATACCAACTCTGGGCAGACACGGAGAGAAATAAGGGAAAAGAAAACATGTTAGAAGTGTTTGAGCCATGTAAAGAGGCTGTGAGGAATATTTCAAACCTGTTTAAGGTGAAAAAAAACCCATAATGAAATGGTATAAAACCCTTATCACCACCACAACACAGAGTAATTTCATATAAAAACCAAGAATCCTCTGGAACAAGCTTTTATACAGTGCTATCATAATTGTGCTTGTTCAGCTTGGTATACTGATCTATCAAAGAAACTTAAAATTAGGATGCAAACCATGCACAAAAATTATCCAACATGACTCACAACAAGCCCCGGGGCATTTCACAAACCATAAAACTCCCCTACGAAACGAAACATAATCATATTTATGATGTTACGAATGGCATCTCTGAATATTTCAAAACCCATAATATTTGGTGGTGTGGTCAGCATTCCTGTGACAAACATGCAAGCTTAAACGCATCATTTAGT